CCATCGTGGTGGTGGCTCAGGCCGAGTCATCGCCCGGAAGAAAGACTATTACGGGAGGAGAGATGGAAATGGACTTCCGTTTGTCGCATCGGAGTTTCGTTTACACGGCCCAAACACGCTCTCTCTGTGTGTGCTGACCTCAGCTCCGGGCTCGTCCAACGTACCACCAATAACCATCAAAGCTCTTGGGGGGCGCTTGAGCAGGGGGGGAGACGAAAGAAAACACGACGTCCTCCTTACGTGCTCATGGCGTGCCTGACATGCTGCAGAAGATGCGAACTGGTTGCACGGAAATTGACAACGGGACAGCAGCATGACCATAGAGACAAGACCTGCCAAACACAAACACACCCACAGCAGAATACATGTACACAGCGGCAGACATGCTCCCTAAAGCCACACCCTCCGTGTTCCATGCTGCGCCCTGTCCTCCCTTGCCCCGGTCGGTGACTCGATCCCGGCTCCTCTTGGTATGACGAATGCCAAACCAGTCTGAACCATGCGTCGCGGGGAGATATCGACCACTTGAGCCTCACGAGTCCAGACTTGTCCGCCGTATCAGGGCATATGCTCGTCCAACCCCCTTACTAGAACGGGCTCACCGTACCATTGGCAGTAGTGTGCTTGTAACCCGTGCCGCCTGTCACCTGCGACTGCCGGTTGTTGTTCCTTTGATACATCCCCCTCCTGTTCCAACGAGGGCAGATCTCCGGCCCTTTTTCCCCAGATCACCCATCAAAAGAACGCTCCCCCAGCTTTTCTTGGCAACGTCGCGAGACCACGATTTCCCTCCCCAATCCCCAATTCCCAATTCCCCCGAACGTTGCACCTGTCCACCGATATGAGCTAGACAAGCACACGTGGAAGTGACCTCTACTTTCGGTCAAGCACCATGCTATGCTGTTCAACCCGTCCCGCAACCCAGTCAACAAGTTCTGAGGTGCATGTCAGGTAAAGAACTTCAAGTTCGAAAGCCTACGATGTCATGCCTATGCAAACACCCTGCACCACGGTCACCGTATTGCAAACCCTCAATCGAAAACTAGACGCCCCCCCCCCCCGGTCCCAAAATCTGCGTTCCGCTTAGGTAAACCAAGCTCGGTGAGCCCTCCGCTCCCTACAAAAATAACACGCCCCTTTTCGGACTTAGTAGGTGGGGCCCCCTCGGAGCGGCGAGCACGCCCCCCTCGCGACGAGACACGCACTCGGACATTGCATTCCGAAGTAAGCAAAGGTGCAATGGGGCCAGGTGGAAACTT